TTGTGGAATGCTTTGCAGCACTTGCAGTTGCACTTTTGTTTTTTCATACGTTTTGTGTTGTGCAACAGCAGCACAAAACGCATATTGTCACGGGGTTATCTGTGTGTGTGTGTCCCATATTTTGTCCCGCACTTTCGACTCGGGAACCATAAAAGCTAGGCGGCTGAAACTGTAGTATAGTGTTCTTGCCAACGTCTGACGCAGCAAATTTAAATTCAGCCTTTCCTTATCCGCGGGTAACACGTACGGCCCTGTGAAATTTTTGGCAGGTAAAATCATTATCTTGGAAGCCAGGATGCTAAGATTTCATGGGTATGTCCCCTGGTCACGTACGACCCAGGAAATTCAAATTCACCCGTCCTGTACCCTCGGGTAACATATACGGCCTGGTAAAATTTTGGCGGGTAAAGTATTATTTCAGGAACTGTGGAATCCAGGAAGCTGGAATTTTAGGGTAGTGACCCCTGTCCACGTACGGCCTCGTAAGTTCAGTGTTCCCACGCTCTCAGGTATCACCTACTTCTCCTTGGAACTTTTGGCGGGTAAATTATTATCTCGGGAACCATGGAAGCTGAAATTTTATGGGTGCTTCCCCTGACCACACGCAACTCAGGAAATTCAAATTCAATCTTCCTGTACCCGCGAGTAACACATACGGCCCCGTGAAATTTCTGGAGGGTAAAAACATTATCTCGAGAACCACAGGAGTTAGGAAGCTGAAATTTTATGCGTATGTCCTCTGCCCATGTTGGACCCAGAAAATTTAAATTCAGTCTTCCGTTTTCTGCGGATAACACGTACGGCCCCGTAAAAGTTTTGGCGAGGAGAATTATCTCGGGAACTACGAAAGCTGGGAAACTGAAGTTTTGTGGATATATCCTCTGCTCACCTGCGACCTAGAGAACTTAAATTCAACCTTCCCGTGCCTGCGGGTAACATGCGCGGCCTCGTAAAAGTTTTGGCGGGTAAAATCATTATCTCAGGGACTGCGGAGGCTAGGGAGCTGAAGTTTTATGGGTATGGCCCTTGACCACGTGCAACGCAGGAAATTTAAATTCAATTTTCCCTTGCGCTTGGGTATCGCGTACGGTCCCGCAAAAATTTTGGCGAAAAATTATCTCGGGGACCACGAAAGTTAGGAAACTGAAATTTCAGGACGATATTTTCTGCCGCTGCAGGTGATATCTCACAAACTCATATTTGGCTCCCAATTGTGTAGAGGTCTTACAAGAAACTGGCGCCAAAAAGGTATACTCAATCGTTACACAACAGAAAACATAAAAAAATTAAAAAAATATTTTGAAACGTGTCTTATTTTATCGCGTTCCTAGTTTTGAGAAGTCAGCATACATCAATACGTAGGCACTGCTTTTGTACCCGGGAAGGTAATGGGACACCCAGCCTCCTTTCCTCCCTTTCTCCCTCAGCCGTGCTCAGTTTAAAAAATACGTGATTTGCAGGCATTGGTAGCAAAAAGAGTAGGTCCACCCCGCTTTTTTCCTCAGTCTGCAAGCTTGAAAAAAAAACCGTGTCCCTCTAATTTACACCACTTGTTCTGTTCTGCAGTTTTAATGCAAAAGCACTCTGCATTGCGTTTACACAGTCCGCGATATGTGAGCTCAAGGGGGATGCGGTGGATTATAAATAAATCGCCAGGAAGTGCTAGTATCGAGTGGGTTCCGCCATCTGCGCTCCCATTCCGATGCGTTTTTTTTTTTCGTTTGTTCGTTTATTTTTTACAGTGATCGGCCATCTGCTTTGTAAAAAACACTTCATCCGGCATTTTTCCTCGTTCGGCCTCTCGTTTCTTATGCTCTTTTTCGAAATCTATTTTGGGGTGCTAGCCGGCCCTCAGTTGCACCTAGCGCCCGTTAACACCAGAAGAGTGATTTTGCAAAAAACGATTGGGTGCGTGTTACTTAGGGTCGTTTCGTACACTTCCAAATGAATCTCCATCGAATTTTGAGCACGGGTATTGGTGATAATAAAAATCTCGGTTTCGAAAAGTGTCGCGGTCTCCGGAAATTTCGCTTTTTTATGTAACAGTGCTGTATCTCGTAATTACCATAAACGAAGACTGCTATATTCGCATTGTTCATGCCGTGTAATTACTGTGTTCTGCGCTTAATTCGATCTCGGAGCAGCAGTGGCTGTTTT